CATGACATGCTGTGGTATGGAATACCTCTTTGGTCAGTTTGGGTCAGGTGTCCTGTCTCTGCTTCCTCCTAGCTTCTCCTCCTCCCTGGCAAAGCATGAGGCTCAGAAACTCCTTGATCAGACTAAAACATCATTGTTATCAGCTCTGTTCCCAGGCCAAAAGTCAAAACACAGCGCTGCACCAGGTACTAAGAAGTAGAAAAAATGACTGCTACTGCTGAACCCAGGACAGTAATATTCACAGGGCAAGCAACAATACAGAAGACCTAACACAAGCATACAAACAAATGTAAGTGAACGTGAAGAAGCCTTTCCACAAACATTCAATCAAGTAATAACATCATTATCTATTATCATGTGCTATTCCTTCTCTACATCTGCTTTCCTAATCTGTACATTTGGCAGAAGCACCTGGAGAAGGTGAATTTTGGTAAGAAAGCTGAGTATTCTTAAGAAGCATCAGTTACAAGTGTGAAAAAATATTGCAATGTTTGTATTAGAGATGCACAGTACCAAAACTGAAATCCGTGTTTCACTACAAAAAAATTACTCATCTCAGTCAACATTAACCTGCACAAGACAAAGGCCAGATGGATAGTCTGTGATATTTTTTCTGGATATGCCTGTCAAACTCAACATTTTTTTTTCAGGTTTTGTTTCTTTTTTTTTTTTTTTCCCAGTTTGTACTGTCATCTATATTATAGTTTAGAATCATTCAGACAGTACTGAAAGCTAGACTAATACCATAAAACAGCTTCTTTACCAAAAAGGACACTGGTGAATTTGTGCTAGAGAATGGGATAGCCACGATGTACCTAAATTGTAAAATATGGACATTCAGTAGCCACCTGCATTCCTGGTCGCTCCACCGTACAGCTTCATGGTTCTGCTCTCTCTTTGCCTAACTGAAATAGTCATGATTTTGGACACAGGTTTTCCCATAGGCTTAGCGCACTGACATGAAGAGACTGAAAACACCCTTTAGTTGTCAGATGATTCCATTATGGGAAATAATATCAGTGCATACCCTCTAAGCAGATATTTATTCTAAAGAAAATGTCTTAAAGCATGCAAGTGCTGTATTTGCCCAAGCTAGCTTCATGACTAAGAATGGTGACTACCTAAGGTACCTTTCTAGTGGAGATCTCCCTTGTGAAAGAGCATGCTAAGCAGCCACAATATGCTACTTGCTACCCCAGCACTTGAACCAAGCCCATGTCCCACAGTGAAAGTAAGATTGTAACAAGAGGTAGGATTAACAATCATATGAAAAGATCTCTAAATACGTTGCTATGTAACATGGAAGCATACGAAGTTGAGAAACTATTTTGGTGATCTGCTTTTCGTTGCTGTTCTGAAACACTGTCCTTGGAGTGCATAACCTATTTTGAAGAAAACACGGCCAACTCAAGCAGCAGCTCTGAAGACCTCATTCCTTCAGGCATAAGCAGCTGCACTATGAAATCTTACTGACCAAGAAAGATGTCTTTTCCACCCACTCTTCCTGTTCCTGAAATTCAGTCCTGTCAAGGAGAAAATGTTAATCCTGATTTAGGTACCGAAATAGATATAGGTGAATAGGTAATGAAGACAATGATAATCATACTTACAGCCCTACCATAAATCAAGAAGTTTTTCCCTAAGACAAGACATAAGGTTTAATTAAACTTACAATGTTGGCTTGCGTGGGTAAGGAACATCTGTAGAAAGAATGTCTAACACAGGTAGTACATAGGAAAGGTGAAGAACTGGACTACCCTTCATTTGAGTTCAGTTCTCATTTCTTGCCTTTACTTTTTATTTCTGATGGCCTGGAAGTAGTACAATAAATATGGAATTTGCTGCAGTCATCTAGACAGCAGTTATTAATGCAATAATAGAATCAGATTTGATATATTTTCCTTTGCTCATTATTTACATCAATGAAACAGCCAGTAGATGTACAATGGTGTAACTAAGGGCGTAATTTGTCCAACTGACTGCAAAATCAAAGCTGCAGGTAATACATAGAATGAAAAATCCATTCCCAGTAGACAAAAAAGAATGATAAACTCCCATATTGCCAAGCCTCTGTCTGTCTTCTCTTGTTAAACTGTAAACCTTTCATAAAGAAGCTGTCTCCTGCTATCTGATTTTAAGACATTTAATCCGAAGGTGGCTGCTAGGATCTCTAAACAGGATTACAAATAAATAATAATAAATATCGTACAATGACAATATCTGTTGTCCTGAGCTGTATGTCAGGGATTAATAATGATATTTCATCGAAACAGATAGTCCCAGCAGTCTACCAAGCTTGGAAGATCTAACATAAAAATTTTATTAAAATTCCAATATTTCTTGAAACTTACAGACTTACTTGCATTTGTATTTGGTGTTAAATAAGGAAGCAGTGAATTTAAAACAACTAAAACGTACTTTTTGAAATAGATTTTACATTAATTTTGAAGTCCTTTTGTGTAACTGAAAGAATATTTTTACTGCCTTTTTTTTTTTCTGACTTCCAGATATGATGTGTCTTACAGGTCTCTTTCCACTGTTGTCAGAGGGCCCCAAATAAAACTGGGCAGCTCCTCTATAACTATTCACAGGCAAATTAAATGGTTCTATATCAAGTGGTGTATCTTTGTTCCTAAATTTTCTCACAATTCCCTTGAGATAGCTGCATGAAACCCTGACTAATTTACAAGGAAAAACAGGTAAACTTAGAAGACAAACAAACATAACAACAAAACAAAAATCTGGCACCAAGCAGCACTGATTGCTGTATCAAGAAATTCTTTTAGACAGAAAAAGAATTCTACAAACACCAGACAAGGTAATTTCTTATGTAATGCATCATTTACAATGAACAGCAGCTTTTGCTTTCAATGTAATGCAGTTCCTCAGGATTTTAAACTGGTTCTTATCTATACTGAACTAATGAAAAAAGTCTTTTTACATGCTAATTATGTGTCCTGTGAGGTTACACCTTTCACATGTGATAAAGTCAATGACAACAAAATGTTTCTGTCCATAAATGTAAACATCTACGCAAGTAATGCTCAAGAATAGACTGCGTACCTTACATCATTCTTCATATGTTAGGAAAATCAATGTTTAAATTTCTTTTTTTATTGTGTTATCATATTATTTATAATTTTTTTTTTTTTATTTTCACTCTATAGTTTACTTGATGTAAGCAGTATATATACCCCTATCATAGAGCTGTTCCCCTCAGAAATGTGCCTGAAGCTTTCTGGTGGAATGGTTTTGATGAGAGAAAAACTCAAAAGACTCAAGGTCAAAATTTGCTGTAAAAACCATAGTTGTGTTCTCAAGCACCTTCCAGATCACTCCAGGTGATCATGATACATTTGTGAGATGGCTCGTGACTTCCGCTTCAGTCTTCAGAAATACCAATAAATGGATATTTTGACAAGCAAGAGCCACTTGTTTAGCTCAGGTCAAAATTAGCAGATTTCAAGATGTGTAAAAGAAATATTCTAGAGCATCCAGCTATAAACCCATGGACATGGCACATACAGGTATCAGTGATGAGACTTGAACAAGGCAGGCACAGGAACATGATTCTGTACTAGTACTATTTCTGAAATATTTCTTTTTTTTTTTTTTCTTTAACAGAAAGATAAACTGTGAAAAGCTTCAGAAAACCAGTTATGTGATAAGAACAAGAGAAATTTCAGTGTCTGATCATTAAAGACAGAATAGAGATGTTTGCATGGTTATTTAATCCTGAGCACATAAGAAAAAAAAAAAAAGACAACAAGGCCTGCATGAAGGATCTTTCATCTTGAAAATAGGCAAGACATATTTCCATTTAATTGAAAAATGAAAGCTCCTAGCGAGACTGCATTTCTTATATATCTGGCAGATGAGTCATGAGTTCAGAATTCTAGTTAAAAAATATAAACTTACTTACAAATTTGAGAATTCCTGAAATTTCAGCCAACAGAAAGGACATGCTAGTGCAAGCAAGGACTGTAATTGAACTCACATGGTCTTATTCAGACCCTTCCTAAGCAAATACTTTGTCAGCATGATAAGCAGCATCGTACCACTTATTCAGTCGTTAAAGTAGAAATTTAGCTGTTAAAACCCAGTACTCTTATAAAAAAAAACCAGAGAACAGGAATGCAGGGCAGGCATGGGAAACAACAACAGAAAATGAGCATAAATAATTCTACAACGGTGCAACCAAAATCTCTCTCTTTACGTTTCTTTCACAAAGTCCATGGCCCATGCAAGGAAAGGATACTTTTGTAAATTTTATTTTCAGGACTTTCAGTATGATTAACTATAATGTATCACAATTTACATCCATACAGTAAACACAGAATCACAGCTCTATGTCATTCCTCTGGCTGTGAATCAGATATAGTTATGAACAAGCTACTTTTTTCTTCTTGCAACTTTGAGCTTTTTTAAGAACATTTTTAAAGTTCTACTGACCTCTGTAGACACTAAAACGCAGCAAAAAATTATCACATCTGGAAAAGTGAACTTGTTTGCATGCATTTATGTAGCAGTCAGTCCATCAACTCCATTTTTTAATGAAGCATTTTTTCCTTTTGGCAGAACTACTTATTTGTATTAGAAACATGCATAATTTCCAGGAATAGATTCTTGTATTTACCCATAGATGCTTCATGAATGACTGATCTTCATGGATATCATAGGTAAAAGGAAAAAGGATTTGAATTGTAAATTGCAGCTTGCAGACTCTGAAATCTCACTGCAGGGTACTCTGGACAGTATGTTGAAGACCCTGGAGATACTTCTTTAGCTGCCATTAGAAACCACCACAAATAAATGAACAAAAGACAACAAACTACAATATCAGGGCTCATCTAACAAACGGATTAACAGTGTACAAGTGCTGAAAACAATAAAGACATGTAAGGAAAGATTTTACTTTAATATTCAGGATGGCTCACCTGAAGCAGACTTTTTCATCTCTTTTCAACTGCTTTAGGGAAACACCATCTCTCTTTTTTAGAATGGTGAGATGGGACAGCTGTCTAGACATCGATGAAGAGCATGTGAATTTTGCTAGTAGAGATGAACTGAACAGAGCTCTCAGCAAGGAGAGAGAGGAACCAGATGGACCTGTGAACTTTGAGCTTGACATTTGCCACCAGGATCCAGAATACAAGTCCCCAGCTCCCCTGCCACATGCCCAAGTCAAACTGATCACCAGCTGGGAAGCAGGATGGAATGTAACGAATGCCATTCAGGTAACCTTTTACTTCCCCACTCATTACAACCACATTTGAAAAACCTGGTCATCATTTAGCCTGCTTTATTTTTCTTAACTGTACCATCATTTTCCAATATTCTAAAAGGTTTCTTTAGATCTATCACTAACATATTTCAACCTTTCTGCACAAGATTCTGCTAATCTTGTGCAGAAAGATTCTGCTAGGCAGAATCTTGTGAAGAAAGATTAGCACTCTAAAAAAAAAAAATCAAAGTTTCAAAGGGAAAACTTTCGAAGGGAAAAGGATATGTTAGCTAAAGTATAAAAAATATTTACACCAAGTGAAAATGAAATGGTGATGATGGCATCTGTTGTGGAAGTGCAGATGTTATCTTTAGTAAGTATATTTGAATGAGGTGATAGAGATGTTTGATAGAAATGTGAGGTAAATATCTAATAAAAAGAGGATACTAAGATCCAGACTGACGTCAGACATATATTTACTGACATGTAAGTTAGGCTAGATTTAAATTGGAGCATGAAGCATGAGAAGTGTGATAATACTTGTCAATGTTAAATAGTCAGGTTGAAAAGACTGACAGCATTTGGTCCCAGCATTCTATATGGAGTTTTAGTATCTTTCTGTATCCTTAAATTTAGCATTAAACATTTCAGATTCTTTTTATCACTTCTCATGATTCATTTCCTTAAATAATTCTATGATTACCACTAGCTTTCTGTCTGACATGGTAGAAAAAAGCAGTATCCACAGACACGTCTAGTCCCAGTAACTGTTACTTAAATACTTTCATCCTGGTTTCAGCTGTAGCAGTTATTTTTTGTCCTTCCCAGTAACTGGTGCAGTGCTTTGTTTTAGCTTTAGTCTGAGAACAATGCTGATAACACACCAATGTTTTAGTTGTTGCTAAGTAATGCTTACCCTGATCAAGGACTTTTCAGTCTCTCATGTTCTGTCAGTGAGGAGGGGCACAGGCAACCAGGAGGGAGCAGAGATAGGACACCTGACCCAAACTAGCCAAAGGGCTATTCCATACCACAGCACATCACGCCCAGTATATAAACTGGGGGAGGCACCCAGAAGGGACATATCACTGCTCAGGTTGGGCTGAATATAGGTCAGCAGGTGGTGAGCAATTGTGTCGTGCATGACTTGGGTTTATTGGTTTTTTTTCCCCTTTTAGTTTCATATTCTCTTCCCTTGTTACTTCCCTTATCATTTTTATTATTAGTAGTAATATTATATTGTACTTTAGTAATTAAACTGTTCTTATCTCAACCTGTGGGATTTACATTCTTTCAATTCTCCTCCCTATCCTACCTGGAGGGGAGTGTGTGCGAGTGGCTGCATGGTGCTGAGTTTCCAGCTGGGCTTAAACCACGACAACTTTTTATCCCACTTTAATTACAGAAAAATAACTTTTCCAGTGTCACACAAGTCTGTGATTATGCTGATAAACATTTGTTTATGTATCCAGTTCATCCCTCAGCTCTGCAAAGGAGGAGAAAAAGGACACATTTCTAACCCAGCTCTATTTTCAAACATGAGCTCTACCACATGAGAGCCAGTGCAATAACAGGGCACAGTAATATATCATACTCAGAAAGTGTTCAGCTGTGAATAAAAGCGTGAAGTCCTAAAATACCCCAACTACATTCTAGTAACACATTTTATCTTCAGTCTTTCTCAGCAGCATCTAGTCAGGACAGGAGTCTGGGATGAGAGCCCACTGTTGTCTCTCTGAGCTTTGCCTTTGATTTCACCAAAGCCAAGATTTCATTCTAGAAGTCAATTTTGTCAATATTTGCAGTATGACCTTTTGGCAAGTCACGTTCTCTCTCACCTATTGTTTTTCTTTCTGAAAGAAAAAAGTAATAATGCCTCTGTAAAAACATCAAAGTGCCTAAAAATTCCTGAATGTCGTTATGTACACAATTGCTATTAATTATTAATATTATAGCTTCCAGTTAAAAGTAGACAGTAAAAACATAATCAAACGTACATTTGACTTTTTAAAACCAGGACAAATTCAAGCTAAATTATCCAAACAGATCAGTAACTATAGTCTTAGTAAAAATTGTCAGCATGATGTGTGTTGCATACTGCTATTGGATCTCATTTGGTGCAATAGTTTAGAAATGAGCATTAAAAAAGCAGTTGGCTACAGCTTAGGAATTTTTCTCCTACAGCAGTCTGAGGACAGGAGCTTCAGTTTCATTAACAGTACAACTGAAGTGTCCCAACAACACATTGTGAAACCAGGGACATATGTGAGTAAGCAAGTATGTGAATATGTACACGTATGTACACATGTATGTATTTTTCCTATTTCCAAATACCTTGTCATTTGGTTTAGGACCAAGGCTAGAGAGCAGAGAAAGGGAAGGGGAAAGGGGGGAGAGGAGGAGAGAGGAGAGAATATTGAATGGGCATCTGTCAGGAAAAAATAACAGTTTGAAGAAATTTCTATGAATAGCTTTGAGGAGAAAGTCAGAGTTGTGAACAGAATGATTAAAACAGTCCAAACGTTCTTGACTGGTGAGGAGAATCTGTGCTAAAATGGCAGTTCTTTTTGCCCTACCCAGCGGAAACAGCAGAAGTGTTTTGCATGGCAATTAGAGGTAAATATTTCGGCAGAATTCTGAAGTGTTCTAAACTGTTATTCTGGTGAATACAATTAGTCTGAAAGTGAGATTCTATCGCAATCCAGATTTCTTATAGGAACAAATTAATTTTGGTCTCTGAAATGAAATACAAGGCTTTTCTTAGAGTGTTTTAAATGCAAATATTTTCAAACAAGCAGGTAGAGATTTTTATTTTGGTTTTAACTTCAACTGAAAATACATGCCCTTTTGGTGACAATGCTGTAAGTGTAAATGATTGCTTCAGACATTTAAAGTTTCCAGGGAAGCATGCTTCATATTCCAACACTGTACAGGCAAATGAAAACCTGTATCCAGTTAATCTAGGTAAGGACAGAGATCATAAAGCTGAGTTGATTCAAAAGGGAACATGAATGGCATCATCTGGCAGAGTGATGCAAGTTTCATTTGTTTGTATATAGCAGTAAAAGGCAAAAGAAGAATTGTGCTAACTTGTAGAGTAGTGCTGGATAGATGAGCAAAACAACAGTCACAAAGGAAGAAGATAGTTAAATTCTAATGGCACAGCATTTCACAGCAGAACCAAAGGACAATAAAATCTATTTATTTGCCAGCTACATGTAGGAGGATTGTTGCAAACAGAATGGAGAATATTTGTGCAAGAAAAAGAAAGCAAAAGTGAGAGAAAAAGGCATTCAGTCTAGAGTATCAAGAAGGAGTAGAAGACAACAAAGAATGGAGAAAAACCAAGACAGACAAAGGGAAGAAGTGAAATAATGGCAATAAGTGAAATATTCTTCAACTCGGCATAACTGTAATTTGCACCACTGTGAGTCTATCTCCACATAGGTCTCAGGAGCACAAATAAGTTTAAAAGTGCAAAAACATCAACCACTTTATCAGGCAGCTCCAAAGTGCTTTTGTGTCGATGCTGGAGTCACGGACAACGCAGGAGCAATCAATGTGATCAGCAAATGCCAATTTATTACAAAGCTTTAACTCCTTATATACCATTTCTTAAAGGCACTTACAGTGATTTGGCATATTATGATTGGATACATGTCTTGAAGACCCTTAGCGACTAACACATAATTGGTTAAGCACAGGTGTGAAAACTTGACCTCAAAAGCTTGCCAACAGTCCACAGTTCTCATTAACTCAGTGAACTGCAGCTTCTTCTTATCTTGCTTGCTTAAGCTTCCTCAGGCCTCTCACGGCCTTGCTGTATCTTTCAGGATTATTCAGTTTAGGTACCAATTATCCATTCTCCTGTGAGAACACTGTCTCCACACGTTTGTTATTGTGATGCATATACAATCTTTAAAATACAGTGTAATACAAGCATATATTTCTTCCCTGGATGCTTGGTAGAACATGATGCATCAAAGCATACTGAATGTGCATCTGATACACAGTGTAGTCACATTTTGTCTCCTGTTTACAGAGATTAGGTTGTACAAAATTAGAAATACCTATGGCAGGGGCAATTTTATTGTTCCATGATCAGAATAACACAATAGGGTGCTTGTCTATTGTGAATGCTTCTAGGAATAACAATAATGCAATTACTATTACTAATAATTATTTTAAATTGTGTCAATAATAAATTGATAATTCTTACAGTAGTGATTATAAATATGCTCATTATATTTTTTTTCTGTATACTGTACATTAGTTTAGGAAAGACTCAACACTTCAATAATCACCATTTTTAAAACCAAAAGTGTATATCTGTATATACTTCACGGTGTGCTGGATACATTTCCATAATGGGTTCCAATTTGGCTCATTTTTGTTTATGCAACTCCTAAAAGATTCACTTGAGAATATCTCATAGTTAATATTTATTTTTCTATGATGTTTCCTCTGAGTGACCTGCCTTCAACTCTCTAATATAGATTGAATCTTTAGAGTTTTGAGTATCCGTAATTCCCAAAGATTTAAGTGGAAAACACAGTCATGTTGAGAAACAGAATTAGCAGATATGCCCCTGAAGATATAAAAGCAAACATATTTTTTAGGTGGCTAAACAGCCCTCCCATTAAGCTTTACTGACAAGATATTTAAGGATTTTCTAAATATATATATGTACACGCTTTTGTGCTTAGAAAGCGAAATGTTTTCTCCATCAGGTCATTAGATGTACAGCAATACAAATCTTCTCATCCTCAGCCTTGAATAATTTAGTCACATTTAACTAAACAGACACTTAGATCTTGACTGTAGTACTTGATCTTAAGTATTTATTTTTCAGACCTGAGAACAAAGGTCAATCCCTTCTGGTGCCCAAAGCAGTAAGTTCCTCGAATTATACTCTGAAGCTAAAGTCATACAGTGAACTAAATTTTAGAGACTAAAATGTCTGAGGGAAACAAACTTCTGCATTTCATGTCAAGAGGTAGTATTGAAAATTAA